TCTCTCTGCTACTTATGAAAAAAGTACATCTGTATATATAATATCTAAAAGCCCGTCCGGCTCCAAGCCCAAGCTCACCTCCCAAGTCCCCAAGGGTCCAGCGGATTCCGTCCACTCTACGAAGCACCCTTTTACGTAGTACGTACGTAGTACCGTACTCACAGAAACCCTTCCTTCTCAGCAGCTCCACTCCACCCAACTCCACTCCACCCAACTCCAAACTCCAAACTCAGCTCTGCCCCCGCCAACAAACAGGCACGCATACAATACAATACAATACAATACACTAGCACAGCACAGCACACCCAGCCCAGCACCCCACCGCAAAAATCGCCCGCCCATCACCCAAGAGCAAAAAATCGCCCAAGAAGTTTCTTCGACACCAAATCACACCAATGAGCAGATAGTACGTTACCTACCTACCTATACATACCTACACCCTGCCGCCCCTCAGGAATCCACACCCGCATCTATTGCAGAGAACAGAAGGACTCCTCCTATTACGTACTTACTGACTTACTCACTTGCTGTTCACCACTATAACTCTTTATCTTATCATCTTACCGGGTTGCTTTTTTTTTTTTTTTTTTTTTTTGATTGGGCGAAGGAAGCTATGGAATTAATTATATATATATACATATATAAAGATCTGATCTGGTTATCGCTAGCCTAGCTAGATATTTCGCTTCGCTTCGCCAGCTATCTATCTACTTTGTGTTATTTCATTTCATGCCATTTCGTGTCTCTCTCTGCGGATACCGCATATCGCATACCGCATACCGCATATGGATACATAACTAACTCCCTTCCTCCCAGTCAGTCAGTCAGTCAGTCAGTCAAGTCAAGTCACCAAGTGCTTGCTTGCTTGCTTGCTTGCTGTAAGGCAGTTTTACTCAAACTCACTCCCTCACTCCCTCACTCCACGATCCCTCCTTAAAAAAAGAAAGAAGAAAAAAAAAAATACACAAGAGGGAGAGAGCGGGCTGAGTGAGTAAGTGAGGTAGGTTTTGATAAGTTTCTGCAAACGGTGAATGAATGCAAAAAACTATTCTCTCGTTCGTCCTGACGCCTTACAATGCCTGGCTGCTGTACAATACAATTGCGCAAAGTCTTTCTACCACTCATCCCCCCACCCCTTCCCTTCCCTTTCCTTTCCTAGTCAGGTACACACGGCTCCCAATTCTCGCCTTCTCGCTGCTCTCGCTCTCGCTCTTCTCACACCGGGTTCGGCAGCTCAGGAGGGCTGTCCGTGCTCTCGGTCGGGAATGGCGGCGGCGCGCTCTTCTCCCCTAGACTGCCACCAAAGTACTTGGTAAAGTCCTTGTTCTCTTCGAATGGTCGGTGGCCCAACAGTCTGACCATGTCGTTTCGATCCAGGACTTCCTTCTTCAGAAGCTCCTCGGCAACGATGCCGACTTCAGACTTCTTCTCGGTGAGTAGGTCCCTACATTGCGTGTATGCTTCATCTACTATCCGCCGCACTTCCGAGTCAATTGTCTGGGCCGTCGATTCCGCAAAGGGCTTGTGTAGGGCTTGCTCATTGTCTTCGAAGTGGAGGGGGCCAAGCTTCTTGCTCATGCCCCACTTGGTGACCATTGCGGTGGCCATACGGGTGACTTTGTTGAAGTCGTCTGAGGCTCCGGAGGTCACGGCCTCGAAGTGGAGCTCTTCGGATACACGGCCACCGAGTGCCATAGCCATGCGATCCATCAGTTGATTGACGTTCATGAGGTAAGTGTCGCCAGCTGGGAGGTACTGGGCGTATCCAAGGGCTCCTTGTCCACGCGGGATGATGGACACCTTGAGTAGAGGGTCGGCATACTTGAAGTACCATCCGCAGATAGCATGGCCGGCTTCGTGGTACGCAACAGTCTTCTTCTCCTCGGGTGACAAAACGAGAGACTTCTTTTCAAGACCACCAATGACACGCTCAATGGCTTGTTCGAAGTGGATCATCTCAATGGACCTCGCGCTTGTTCTAGCAGCTATGTCATGTTAGCAAAGTACTGAAAAAAAAAATTGAAGAAACGCATACCGATCAGAGCAGCTTCGTTGACACAGTTGGCGATATCAGCTCCGGAGAAGCCAGGTGTCAAGGCCGAAAGACGACCGGTCAGATACTCCAGATCCTCGTTGGTGACGACCTTCTTCAAGTGAACCATGAAAATCTGTCGTCGGCCATCCATCGTAGGTCTATCGATTGCAATGTGTCTGTCGAAACGGCCAGGACGCATCAAAGCCTTGTCGAGAACATCCGGTCTGTTGGTACCCGCAAGAACAACCACCTGCTCAGCGGTGTTGAAACCATCCATCTCTGTCAAGATCTGGTTGAGGGTAGCTTCCCGCTCGTCGTTCCCACCACCGAACGAACCGGCCTTTCCACGCGCCTTTCCAATAGCGTCGATTTCGTCGATGAAGATGATACAAGGGGTATTCTTCCTCGCCATCGCGAAGAGATCACGAACTCTGGAAGCACCGACACCGACGAACATCTCCACGAACTCGGAACCAGAAACACTGAAGAAGGGTACTTGAGACTCGCCAGCCGTCGCCTTTGCCAGAAGTGTCTTACCGGTTCCGGGAGGACCCGAAAGAATGGCACCGCGAGGAATCTTGGCACCCAGACGTTGGAACTGGTCGGGAGTCTTGAGGAAAGAGACGAACTCCATGATTTCCGCCTTTGCCTCGTCCATACCAGCCACATCGGCAAATTTAACCTTGACATCGGTCTCGTGGTTAAATTGTTTCGCTCGGCTCTTACCCATGCCAAACACGCCATTAGCGCCTCCAGCTCCACGGCTCGCCCTCTGAGATATGAAGAAGATAGCTCCAAGTAAAAGGATCGTAGGACCAAAGCTCATGACCAAACCCCAGGGGTCGCCCTCTGAAGCATAGTTGACCGGTATTCTCTCCGAATGAGGGATCCCAAGCTCGTCCTGAGCCTCGTCCAACCGCCTCTCGAAAGACTCGACAGACCCAATCGTGAAATAGTAGTGGAAGTTGGGGTTGGAAGCAGGGGAGTCGGGGTACGCAGCATGCGTAGCTTCGCGATGCAAGTCGACTCGTACCCGGCCTCCATTGGTAACCGTCAACTTCTCAACCAATCCCTTGTCCAGGAAGGTACTCCGGAATTCTTGGTAGGTGATATCCCGTGTGCTTTCGCCCGGTATGACCATTCGATAGAGCAGGTAAGATGTGAAGGTCGCCAACAGGAGAGTACTCAAGTCAATCTTCATCTCGCCGACCTTGAAGCCGCCCTCCTGCTTGTCTCCCCCCGTCTTCTTCTTCTTGCCACCCGGAGGCAAGCTTCCAAACCCTCCAAACCCCCCAAAACCGTCTGACGAGGCCTTCGGTCCGCGAGACTCGGAGTCTGTGCTCTTTGTGTCCCTATCCGCCTGCTTCTTCGCCATCTGAGCCGCCATCTTCGTCAACCGTGCCGCCTTGCCCAGCGTCATCGGCTTTCCCCCCTTAACCTCGTCCATCAAATTCCTTAGTTCCCAAGGTATCCCCTCTTTCTTTATGTTCTCAAACGCCCGCTCAATGATCTCCGCCTGGCTCTTCGACATGCCCTGCTTCAATTTCCCCAGCAGCTCCTCGATTTCCTTCTCGTACTCCGGATTCATAGGCGCCATGCCCTCCGCCAGCCCAGGCTTGCCGGGCTCCCCCTTCCCGGCCTTCGGCGAGAGCGGAGTGGTTCCATCGTACAGGTTCTCCGTTCCGGGGGCGGACTTCGACGACGCGGGCTCAGCAGCTTTCTTATCCGTCACCTCAGGCTTGTCCCCCTTCGCCGCTTCGTCTTTCTCTGGCGTCGGCCGATTCGAGTATGATCGGGCTTGCCGAATAGCGATCCGCGAGGAGCGTAATTGCGCATGGCTGGCTGGGCGGAATGAAGCTCGTGCGGCAGCTGTCTGCAGAGTCGACTTTGATATCCTAGCCAGGTTACCGGACTGGCGCAGAAGGGAGTGCATAATCGCGGGAAAAAGCGTTGTAGAGGGAGGCGTGAGGGAAAAGGTTCGCAGTGCTCCTCAGAGCTGGAGCATCGGGTTGATGGGAAAAGCTTACTGAAGGCGACAGGAGAGTTTATGAAGAGGTCATCGAAACCAGCGTGGCGAGAAGCTTGCCCACCTGGTCCGTGCTGATTCTTCGAAATTGATGACATCCTGGCTCATACTTAGGTACCATACTCATATATTCAGGTGACGATGATTATGTTTATTCACGTTTTGCAGGTAGTAATGTTTGAAATTGCTTCAATACTACAAAATTCTAGAGGATAATCAATCGACTTCTATCCCAATCCGTTCAGGCCCAATCATTCCAGGGATATCACTCAAAAAGTCAACTCAACGGCACGGGTTTCTAGATAGTAACCATAACGTATAGTAACAATGACTATGTTCTTCCTCCATCCTCTATCTCAACGCCATATCTATAAAGACTCTGCCGCCCGTTGCGCATACCCTCACGGGCCATAAAGTTATTACATCGCAGAAACACGTGAGCATCCCATTACCAGAGCAGCGTTTCAGTCCGTAAGTCATAAATCCTTGAGTGAAGCTAACGCCAGCACCATCTACACCATCTACACCATCTAGATGCACCATGCATATACGCGCCCTTTCGGTGTCCGAAAAACGCCGAACCTTTGCAGATCTGCCATTAATTTTATAGGAAACTCCCCGCGACCTAATCCGGCCCAGAATCAGTCGTGACCGGCACTCACATATGATGCTGCAAATGCTGATTATTGATATTCTGCAGACTCGGATCTCCTACAATCCCATTCTCAAAACTCGGGTATGCGCCCCCCGTCATGTCAGCCCAGTCCCACTCTAGCGTCATGGGCATCTGCCACAGATCCTGCGGCACAAATGGTTGTTGGTAATTGTTCATGTTGATTGGGGACGTCATATCGTTGCCGTTCGAATAGGCTTGGATTTCAGCAAATGGAGTCATGCCAGTTTTAGGCGTGAGGTATTCGGCGCCGTTAGTGTTGTTGTTAGCGAAGTCCGAGTTCCAAATTGAGTTAGGCGATCCGTTGTTCTGCACTGGGCTGAAGGTCCTATCTCGCATCATCGTGCCTGGTGAGAAGACGCCAGAGACGGCGGGGACTTGTACGCTTGGACGTTTGGCAGCTGCGGGTATTTGGGGCGAGTTGTTGTTTGTTTGGGGCGCGCTTCTCGGCTTTGCGACCTGCTCCCCGTTGCTCTTCCTCTTCCGCTTTGAAGAGCCGTCCCTTTCGGCTTTGTCCAGTACGACTTTGGCGATCCTCTCAAATTCAGAACAGACGCCCAGCATGCGCTTCACACCTCCATTTTCTTCTTCCGTCCCCAACATCGATAAGAAGCTGACAACAACATTCATTAAGCGGACATCGGATCGAGCTCGAGGGTCGTGAGGATTTTGTAAAATGTTCCCAAAAAGAGTTACCAGGGCAGAGACAGGAAAATAGAGAATGAGCCTGTGCTCATTAGCATCAGATTTTATGCGCAGTTATTGGGGACCTACCAAACGCAGGAGAAATCTCCTTGAGGTACGTATTTGATTAAGTGTATGGAAGCTCGGGCAGCGGATACACAGAGAGCCGCAGACGAAAAGACCCGAGGGTTCAGGGGTCGCGCGTTAAGCCCCTGTATGGCAAAGTTTGACAAGCGGCTCGTCCAGTATCCATGATGAACCGACATCCGGTGGATTGTCGTCAGACAATTATAATAAGCGAAGTGGAGAACGACGACATGTAAAATTAAAGGAGTATGTGAGGCCTTGATTTCGTGTTCGGGCCGGAAGTCGACAGGGATGCTATCCTTCCACTCCTCCAGAATGTGGTCCAATTCGCCTATGGTGTTTAGTAGCTCGCCGTCGGACTGCTTGGATGCCTTAGTCGAGTATAGTTGATTGTAGACTTTGCTCTCGATTGTTGCGAACTCGCACATGAGACGGAAGAGGTTGACTTTACCCTTCCCGTCAGCCAGAGGAATGTTGCCTATGTTATCGTCTGGGTCGGCGCTTGGCAGGTCAACATTCATGTCGTTATCGTCTTGTGCTGGCGGCCTTCCTGAGCGCAAACAAATGTCCTTATCCAGCATGTAGCCAATCCAGAAAACTCGCTTTCGCTGCTCGATTTCAACTGGGTTGAGGTTGAAGCCTGAGCCACGCTTGTGCAGTCCGATACTGTGAGACGCCCGAATGGCGGCCGCGACGAGGAAGAATGAAGGTTGGGGGTTCGGTGTGCCCTGCAAGAAAAGTGCCAACCCCAAAAGTGCCTGAACACTGAGTAGATCCGTGTTGCGCATCGTGAGCTCCGTGACCACGGCCATTGCATTCTTGAGGTAGCCCCATGCCTTTTCGTCCTCCTCTTTTGGGACCAAGTTACTCATAACACGCAATCGATGAGCCAGAGCAAGTGCAACATTCAAACTGGCCCACCATCCTGAACCATCGTATGGATCCTGGCTGTATTGCCGATCGACAAGATGCATGAAGGTAGGTTGATGGAACAGAGGAAACATGCAGTTGAAGTTTTCAAAGAAATCTTTGAGTAGAGACAAGCATTCAAGCTTCGGGGGTAGTCGTCTGAAGATTCGTCGCTCGAACAGGTCTCCAAAAACCTCTGGCTTCCAATACATCCACTTGTTCTCGTCGACAGATGCTGACGAGATCATTTCCTGGAAAGAGGAGTCGCCTGTCTTGTCATTGACCCATTGGATACCTTTAGGCGAGAAGATGGAGAATCCGGAGGAGGATCCTATAAGGAATTAGTCCAGAGCCCCCAAGATATCCCAGACCAGAACTTCCATACCGATATACCTAGTTTCACCGCAGTTGTTCGTGACCAAGGAGCACATCATGTCTGACAGAGCCTCAACCTCTTCTTCCGCCTTTTCTGGGGTTCCGCTCTTGCCTTTCTCGACGTCCGAGGTGACTTGCGGTGGTTCTGGGGATGCTATCGTGCTTCTTGGGGTCGAGCCCCCACCGACCTGTGAAGTCTGTGAAGGGGAAGTTGGGTGCGATGCGGGTGCTGCTGAGGCGCGTTGCGACTCCCTCTTACTCTCTGCGAGGCGTTTCTCCAAAGTGCCCAGGTCTGTTCGGCCGTTGTCGTCCTCGTTGAGCATTCCTACCACACTTAGCAAGACGCAGGCTACCAGACACATGGACAGGGCATACCCGAGAGCCGAAGCAGGCTTTCCATCCGTACTAATCGGTTTTCGAGCCCCTCGATGTATTTCGCCCTGCGAGGATTAACTAAGTACTAAAGATGCGGAGGTTGTATCCGTCTCGTACATACCCTTTCGGCGGGTTCCTCTTCTTTTCCACCTGTGTAAAGATGCATTCCGTCTTGTAGTTGATGCAGTGCGTACAAGCCGGCATCTTCCCATCGCACTTAATCTTCTTCTTCCTGCACATATCACACGCCTGCAGACCCGTCAGCGCCTGGTTAACATGGCCAGTAACAGCCGGGCGAGTGCGTCGCAAGACGTAGGTCCTATCCTACCCGCGCAATCCGCCTCCTCTTCGCCTCGATGCTCTCGTCCATGAGCCCGCCATCGCCCAGAAACGACTGCGACAGATCCGGCAGGCTCATGTTGGGTGGTAGACCATCCTGGTTGTACCCGCCAAAGATCTGTGGGGGAGGCTTCATCATCGGTGGCGTGGCCATCTGGGGCATGCCGTTATAACTGTTGGGGTCGTTTCGGGCGGTATCCATGACCGAAGGGTCCATGATAGGCGAATGCGAATGTGGTACCATCGAAGGGGACTGATAGAAGTCGACAGTTTAGATAGATAGAGCGGTCGGTAGGTCAGTAGGTAGATAGGAGAGGAGGAATGCAGAAGATGCATAAGATGCAGAGTGCAGAAAGAACAAGAAGAAAGGCTGGCTGGCTGGCTGGCTGGCTGGCTGGCTGGTGGTCGATTTGATTGATTGATTGATTGATTGATTGAGTGATTGATTGATGCTGACACCAGACACAACAGACACCAGACTTGAGATCAGACAAACGCCGTATGACACCACCACACCTGCTTTCGTTCTTCTTCGCTCCGTACGGATAGAGACAATGCCAAGTCTCAAGCCCCACGTCTCGAATCTCCAAGTGCTCAAAGCTCAGCTTTGAGTCGTTTTCGTTTTCGTTTTCGCTCTCGCTGATCACCAGAGTATGCATAATATAATAACTCTTACTTACTTTACACCACCAACCCCACCACGTCCCACGCTCTTGGAGAGACTACGGATCCAAGGGCTGGAGTCGGACCTTTTGATCTCCGTTGGGCGGGAATACGGCCGAGGCAGGGCGTGATTGGCTCAAGCTCGACCATTACCTTTTGCCTTTCCGTTCCTTTACTACCTCATCGGGGAGGAGGGAGGTATTACAAAGCTTCTTTTGTGGCTATGTGAAAACCTCTCCCAATCATCATCTTTATCATCATTACATAATCGTCATACCCGATTTCAAATACCGAGTAGAAAGTAGACAAGCAGATGATGGACAAGGGGAAGCAAGAGAAACCCTCTATTGCGGAGCAGCTACTCGCTCATGGAGCAGGTGATAGTGGGACTTGACGTCTCAACTTTTGGGGCCCTCCCTTAAAATAGGCGAAACAATTATGTCCCGCGAAACAATTATGTCTCACGAAACAATTGTGTCCCGCGTCACTTATAAAATAAAGAAAAAGTTAAATAGAATATTAATTAGAATATTAATCATATAAGGATATAAGTTTATATATATATAATAAAAATAGATTATTATGCTATTAGATCTTAATTAAGCCGAGAAAAGAAATCGATTATATCGCATATCTTTCGCATAAAATCAAAAGAAGCTATAGATTAAAGCCGCGGCGAATCCGATTTACTTTTCCCAGCCCTTTATTCAAGTTCTTCTCATCCTTTAAGCATTATTCTTGGGGAAAGTAATATTAATATAATATTAGTTCGCTTAGCATCTTGGTCGCTCTCGCTGATTCAAACACAAGCTAATAGATCTTATTTTAATTCGAAAGCGTTTTCTATTTGTGAAGACTTTAAAGGTCGGCCGGGGGACGAGGCTTTGGCGAACTTGATAAGCTTGTTTTTCTTAAACGGCTTTTGGTGCAGCTTTTTTCGTTTTCGATTGCGTTTCGAAAAGAAAAGCAAATAATAATATCAGCTTTTTTACTCCCTTCTGCTACAAGCTGCTTTTCGCCGTCTCGAATAAAGATTTTCTCGTTCGGGTAGAATGTAAGCGAGAATCCTTTCCACCTTGTTGACAAAAAAAAGAAAGCATTGTTCCGATTCTATCGTTTTAGATCGTCGAGTTGCTCTACGCAGTCTTAACATGATTGAAAAGGTCGGAGCAAAGCAAAAAGGAATAACTCGTTGAATTATTCGTCATTCGCAAAAGGATTTTTGTTTTCATCTGTAAATATTTCTTTGATATTGGAGCATATGCAATCCCGTCTCTTTCCTACTCCTTTTATTATACTTTTTCAAACTTGCATTGGATTTAAAAGAAACGAACAAGCTCTATTCTCGCATCTCGAAAAGCGTATGGAGTATTACGAGTTATAAAAGTTCACGCGCGAATCGAAAGAAGATCTCGTATAAACGATGGAATAATATATTCAACTTTCAAGCCCTGAACAACATTTATAATAGCATGTTATTAATTGTACTTATAAATGCGAAAATAATCGACTTCCATTCAGGTACGTAAGTAAATATGTGATTGAGAAATATTGTTTTAAAAGGTTATAATTTCCTCGCAATCCAAAATTATAGAAAAAAAACCGGTACGAGACATGATTATTTCGCCTACTTGAAGAAAGAACCCCAAAAGTTGAGACGTCAAGTCCTACTATTACTTATTGACCACCGTTACTCTCTGTCTCTGTGACACCCCGTGACGCAACGCAACGCAACGCAGCGCGACGCACGCACCCCTTTCTTCCCCCAGGCGCCCCTCCCCGTCAGCCAAGTCAATTTAAGGTTGCTTGCTTTGCTTGCTTGACAAGGCATGGTCCAGATGCTTACCGGGAACGATCTCGATTCCCTACGGACACAGCTCCAGCTCCCAGCACCAGCACCGGCACCAGCTCCGTATCCCAGTTACAGTTATATATATATATAAATCGATCAGTCCCACACCACACCAGCCTGCAGGTTAAATCAATCAGTCCCACACCACACCACACCACCAGCCCGCAAATCCAATGCAATCCAATCAGATCAGATCAAACGAATCTATATCCTAAGCAAGTCACAAGTCAGCTAGTTAGTTACCCTACCTTTTTCTACCTGGCATCCCTGCCTAGCTGGGTAAGATCGATAAACAAAAAAAAATACCCCCTCGATACCAAACAAAGACATGGAAAAAGACGAGAACAGAGCCCGCCCTCCAATTCTCTTTCCACGTCCTGATTCCTGTCTCTCTCTCTCTCTCACCCTTCGTATCTTTCTCAACCCATCTCTCCGACACTTTTGAAACCCCCCATCATCACTTCCTCACAAGAACCACAGACACACGGTGCGCAGTCACCTATTGGTAGACACTGCCCAAGGAAAGCGTGCCAGGATGCGTGGCAATTCCAAGCTGGGATCATCTTGCTATCCCAACCCAACAACCCAACCCCGTGTCAGTCTTGGAAAATGTGAAAAAGAGTGATTCTGGAGACATTATATTTTGTCATTGGTACCGAGCTGGTTTGAAGACTCGACATCATCTTGGTAGTATAAGTGGACACAGACCATCAGAGAGGCACAAATCCACTGCTCCATCATACAACAGGTCTTTTCCTTCGCAGAGGAAAATTTCTCGCCTGATCCAACTAGCCGCTCGGCAGATGAGATCAGGTCTGCAAACGCTGAGCAATATCTGATTTTCATACATCAAACAGGTCTAACGCCAATCCAATGCTAAACGCACAAGATATCCACATATCTACAAAGAATTGAGAAAGTCGTAATCATCCATATCGAGAGCTGCCTCTCCATCCACCTCGTCGCTCAGACAGACGGGCGCCCAGACGAACAGGGCCGAAACCTCAAACCTGCTCCGTGAATCGTGACTGCTGAGACCCGGCTATAGACGGTATTCGATCCTGGCGCGGCGGAGGAGTCAGCGCCTCTGGAATATCGGGAAACGGGCTTTGTTCTGTGATGGGCGTCCGGGCCGGACTTTCTCTCATGACTGGAACTCCACTTTCTCGCTGTATCGGCGGTGACAATGGCGGACTGCCATAAAATCCTTGCGAGTCCCTGTAAAACGATGACGCGCTGGAGGTGTCGGGCACCATAATACCTCCGCCATATCCATCACCGCCATTGTGCAGCACCGATGGCAGCTTCCTTCCGGAGACACGGTAGAATCCTCGCTCGCTTTCGGCCGCCGACGACATGGTATTTCTCTGCGACGATCGTCTGAGTCCCGTGAGACCCGCCAGAGCGGCAAGGCCCCCACCAGATGGTCTCTCCGTCATTCCGCCAAGTGGCTGAGACGGCGGCAGCTCCCGAGTCGCCCCTGCAGCATCGTAACCTTGTGCACCAGTCAAACTATGTAATGATTGGTTGCGCTTCTTCCACCGAATCAGTAACATGAGGAGAAATACTAAGATCGCCGCTCCAGCGATACATCCGATAACGCCACCTACAATAGTCGATGTAGATGTCCCGGACGACGAATCTGAATCAGCGTCACCACCAGCACCGGCAGTACTGGTAGGTGTACTATTCGCGTCATATCCTTGTTCTGTAGCGGAGGGACTACTGGTAGAAGAGGCGAGTTTGGACGAGGGAGATGGCGAGTAGAATGAGGACGCAGAGGTAGACGACAATGTCGATGATTCGCGGGAGTATGTCGGATACTGGGTGGAAGATACTGAGGAGTCGATTACGGATGTCGAGGATGCACCTGAAAATGTGGTACTGGACGAAATCAGATCCGCGACGGTAGAGCTCGGCAAGTAGGAAGAGGATATCGAGAGAGTTGATATCGACTCGGAAAGACTTGGGGATAAAGTGTCCGAAGAGGCGGGTGCGATTAAAGAGGCGGAAGAGACCGAGCCCAGTGGGATAGAGGCGGAGGAGATCGATGAGATGGGTGGGATCGAAGAAGTCGAAGGGACGGTAGAGACGGAGGTGACGGAGGTAAAGGAGGTGACGGAAGATATATATATTACTGGATTTATAGTTAGTGACATCCATTGCTCAGCACACCCGCTGTCAAACTTACAAGAGGTGGAATTAGATCCAGCAAGAATGGAAGCAAAAGTTGTGGGTATCGAAGAAATTGGTGCAACGGCAGAGTCTGGAAACGCGTTCTGAACGGAAGGTGAGGACGGTATGGAGGAAGAGGTTGGCGAGGGAGAAGGGTCGTCTATTACATTGCTCTCGGATATCTCCCCAGCTGTCCCGCTTGCTGAAGAAGCTGATGGACGTGGACTGCTTATTACCAGATCTGATACTACTGGTTTGGGTGGAATTGAGCTCTCTGATGAGGTTGGGGTTGGGGTTGGGGTTGGAGTTATGCTCCCTGATGGGGTTGTAGGTGGTTGTAAAATGCCTCCAGTCGAATCGGCGGTGAAAGTATTGATCCCAAGTGTTTGGCCAGTCAAGTCGACAACGATTTGTTGGATAACGGATACTGTCTGTACGATTTCGGTCACTACGGGCGAGGGTGGTAAGGGTGGTGAGGGTGGTGAGGGTGGTGAGGGCAGTGAGGGTGGTGAGGGCAGTGAGGGCAATGCTGATGGTGATGCGCCCGACGGGTCACTAGTGGTTGCGCGACGTAAAAGATGGTGTTGTTGGTGTTGGTGCTCTCGATGAGCTCTGTCGTGGCCGCTGGTCAGAAAGAGTGATGACCCGCGGCCGACGTAACGAGTGTTAATGGCCATAAGAGGCTGCGGCGGCAGCGGCGGTGGTGGGCGAGGGCCACGGCAACGACGACGACGCGGTCAAATGTCGATGTCGTTGTCGTGTCGGCAGCGCCGGAGAGTCGAAATGAAATTGACGAGAGTCAACTCATTGCTGTCGTGAGCGAGCGAAGGCTTGACGATGGGCTCGAGCGACGGTGAGGTGAGGGAGAGGAGGAGGAGGAGGAGGAGGAGGAGGAGGAGGAGGGAGGGGAGTGCAGCAGGCTGGCGGAAAGTTTGGTGCGAAGGAAAAGGGTCGATCGCTCAATCATCTCATGTTGTTGAGCAGAAAGGAGAGTCCAGGTGCTTAATTTCCCCCATTGGCCTATCAACGCTGCCCCTGCATTAGCGCCGAGCTAGACAGACCAGAGATTAGGCTCGACCATCGCCCATCGCCCATCGGAGGCTGAAAGCGGGGGGAAAAGTGGGGTGGATGGGAGGGCAGTAACGAATCACAGGCCGGGATAGAATCTAGTAGTATTATGTAAGTGCAGGTAAAAGACTGCCTCAGGCCGACATATGAATTATCACTTCGATGATACTCCGTAGATAGGTACTACGTAGATGGGATGGGATCCGTACTCCGTACACGTCTATTCACGTCTATTCACGTCTTTGCAAGTGTTTTCGCGATATCCAAGTATATTCATGTATGTCCTAGTATATTCAAGCATGTCCAAGTATATCCAAGGTCGTCGCCTAGTCAGCGCCGTGTTTTCGCTTTGTTCTTCCCATGAACGCCAAAGCACCACAGCCAAGATCAGGAGGATTGATTCATTCAATTTATTCATGCAGGTACCTCCTCGGTACTGCATGTCGTGCACTATACGGAATAAGGATCCGGACGGGGTTTCTCTATGATCCACTCCTTGGCGTCCCGCAATCGGTCATGGTAACTCTTCTATTAATAAATCCAACCAATCGATCGTACGCTGAGTCAACCGTCCTCCAACCAAGCATTTTGAAAATCCCCCAACCTCCCCAAAAATTGAATCCTATTATTATACTACCTACCATTCCCTATCCTTCGAATCATGATACCCTACAGCTGCCCAATTTTTCCGACTCCGAGGCCAAACCGGCATGTCTGAAGTCTCTACGGTATGTGAAGTACTATGTACGACGTACAAGTACTACTACCAGTACCTTATACCTACCTACCTACAGTACGGTCTAGGTAGGTACTACTACCTACTACACGAACTCAATGAGAACACGTCGGGGGTACGGGGCAGCTTCGGCTGAAACTCGGTTGATAAAAGTATATCCCACCAACATTCAATAATCCTCCAAACATACCGAAAACAAATCAAATACGTAGGTAGTAACAAGCAGATGCGCACGAACACGAACACGAACACGAACGCAGCACCATGGCAACTCAAGCCCAGCTTGATGAAAAGGCCCTGAGAGACCGCACAGGAGCAACAGCTGGTCCGTCTTTAGAGGAGCGGTTGGCAACCCATCGGGCTCAGCTGGCAGAGAAAGCCCAACGAGATCGAGACCATGGCCCTGCAAATATCGCATCAGCATCGGAATTTGCGACGCCGGCTCAACTAGCAGAGAAGTCTCGACAGCTAGACAATTTTGCCGAAGCTTTTGCGACGTCGGCTCAACTGGCAGAGAAATCCCGCGGGCGTCCTGGTCCTCCACCCCTACCACCTCGAACGCCTTCGACACCGACACATGTCCCCCCTCCTCCAGCCTACTCTATCGATGATGCAAAACGGAGTGAGCTGGTCTCGGAGCAATGGAGATCGAGAGATCCACGATCCTCTTCAACTCATTCTCTCGTGCCATCCGAGTCGCATCGAGATGGCCGGCGGACTTTGCTCCTAGTCTATATTCACGGCTTCTTGGGCAATGAAACAAGTTTCCGGAGCTTCCCGGCACATGTTCACAACCTCCTCACTATCACCCTCTCGAAGACTCATGTCGTCCACACAAAGATATATCCCAGATACAAGTCGAGGAAGGACATAGCATTCGCCAGAGATGATTTCAGCACATGGTAGGCCAAGCTCAGTCCTTCGGGCAGAACCAGCTTATGGATCACTAGGCTTGAACCACATGAGAATAACCACACGGAAATAGTTCTACTTGGACATAGTATGGGAGGAATCCTAGGTGCCGAAGTTGCACTGCAGAAGCCTGCTTCCCCCGCTACCGGACGGCCATTTCGACACCGACTCTTGGGTACAGTCAACTTTGACACTCCGTTCCTAGGCATGCATCCGGGAGTGGTTGTGAGTGGTATTAGCAGCCTCTTCCGTCCTGCACCAGAACCCCCAGGTGCTCCTCCTCCTCAGTCATTTCTTCCAAGTGGAGCAAATACGCCATCACTGGATAGCCAAGCAACACCAAGCTACCCTCTTTCCACAGTCACATCTGATGTCTCTTCATCAACGGTCACTCTTGTACAAAGCATTACCTCGCCACAGGGTAACGCGACGCCTAATGATCCATTCTTTAATCCTCCCTTCCCTAACGATGTGCGATTGCCAGAGCGAACAGGCTGGTCTGGTGTTTTACACTTTGTTAACAAGCACTCAGATGGGCTCACGGACGCCACCAAGCAGTACTTTATCTCACATCTGGAGTTTGGAGGTTGTATGGCGGACTACCCGGGCCTGAAAAATCGTTACGAGAAGATCCGAGCTTTAGAGGACGTCAGTGACCTAGCACAAAGTACAGGTTCTAGGCGTCAGCCACAAACTCAGCGTGTTAGATTCATCAACTATTACACTGCCAGTACTGGAAGGTCAAAACAGCCAAAATCCCTCTCTCCAGGCGAGAATGGCGTGGTACAGCCTGTTGAAGTCGAATTGGATAATTTGAGCTTGGCGACTTCTGGATATCTGACTCCGATGCCTGGTACTCCAAGGATATCTGTCGAGGAGCATGGCGATGGTACAGTAACCCCACAGCCTCTGGTGGACGGGCCAGCTGCATCCCTGATCGAAGCTCAGATGAAGAATCTTGGCGTGGACTCTGGAATCCAGAATAATGTGCAGGAAGATGGGTCGGCTCGAATGCAGCATATTGACTCGGTGCAGGCCGAAGGGGATGAGGATATGTATGATGCACTAGCAGACCCGTCACCCCTTGCCGCAACGGAAGAGATGCCAATCGGGCCATCCTTTGACATCAAACCTACCACCTCTGAGCCAGCTTTACCACCCATTCCACCCATACCAATAGAACCAGAGGTAGTTGACCTCGAAGCATACACAGATAAAGACTTGCGCAAGGCTGCCGAGAAAGAGCAAAAGAGAGTCATGAGGGCTTACCAGCAGGCAGTCAAAGACCGAGATAGCTCTATCAAGGATAGACATAGACTTTCTGAGAAGCGGGAGAGGAAAGCTCGTCAGGAACGAGAGAAAGAAGAGAAAGCCGAAGTGAAAAAGCGCTTGGCAGAGGGGAAGAAGGCAGAAAAGCAGCGGCTGGCCAGAGAAAAGGAACGGCTGAAGGAAGAGGAACGGCGCATGAAGGAAGAGGAGAAGTGCATGGCTACAAGCAACCCCGAACTGCGGAAGAGAGGGGCGTCAGTTGCGTCCTCGGTAAAGGCTGATAAGCCGAAGCGAGACAAGAAGTTTTGCATGTTACCTCCCGGGTATAATGGCAAGCGAGATAAGTGCTGGGTCAGAGTGTACATGGAGGGTGTTGACGAGGTTGGAGCTCATTGCGGACTTTTCTTTGCGGGACCACATTACGAAAGTTTGGTTGGTGATGTGGGTGACAGGATCGGGAAGTGGGTTCAGGAAGATGCTTATAGGAGAGCGGTTCAGGAGGTATAAACGAATGATGATTTAATGCCTAATTTTTAGAACTATGCATAAAGCATTGCATGGCCGGCTTGCTTGCATGAGAAAAGATATGGTGGGTTTTCCAGCGGGATTATCTGTGCTGCTGGCGTGCGTCTCTATATATTTTGGCACTCCTCCTCATCTCCTTTCAAAGGGCTTTATCTCTTCGCTTACTACTAGCGAGATGTCAACACGCCAAGGGCCATCATCGACGTACTCTAGGACCTCTTTGCGACTGCACTGCTGATTGATTGGCCAAATCTTCCAATCGCGAATCACAGCAATGCAATCCTCGAACGTCATTTTAAGCTAGGTACCTAATAAGCTAAGCTGCCCTCACCCCACGACAGCAAGCTCGAAAGCTAGTTGGTAGCTGTAGGTAAAAAAGAGAACTGTTGGTTTTTCTCGGCCTAATGGCGGCGCTCGGGAGCTCTCCATATCTTTCGTAAATTCTACTCTGCTCTTCATATCAATGTCGATATGTTTCAATATCTTTCGATATGTTTCGACCTCGTCTCCTCCTTCCCACGGAGTACTCTATCTGTTCCCATCCATCGCCCTCGCTTGGAACCAACCTCTCAGAAACCATGTTATCGTTAAACAAAATGATTAGCAAGCCTCTCTCTCTCTCTCTCTCTCTCTCTCTCTCTGTGAAGCCTGAGCAGCAGCAGCAGCCTACGAGATCACGATCCTTACCCCAACAGACACAAACAGTAGTACCCTAGAACACCAACTGCACAAACGCTCACCGCACCCCCAAACTTGTCTATCTGAGAGCTCAACCCCCCTAAAAATCATAAGCTGTCAACGACAGGTAAGAATCACAAGCCTTTCAATCGATGCGGATAGCCTATGACTAACTAACTACACGACGCTTCTGTCTGGTGTCTTTGTGTGGTATGGTTAAGTGGAGCAGGAGGTGTGGGAAGTTGGCCTGCGCGGGATAGCTATTTGAAGGTGGTCGTCGTACGCGCGGGTTTTGGAAAGGATCGAAAAGGAAAAAAAGGAAAAAGGAAAAAAAGGAAAGAAAAAAAAGGGGAAAAAGGAGCGATTTCCACTTTTTTCATATGCACTCAGTTCAATCAAGGAAGCAGATTTAAGCTTAACGGGCCACTTACATAGTCTTCCCGAAGGTGGGATTCATGAATCATAGCTAATATGATTGATGTTTTTTGTTTTATTTTGGGGCGGTTATGCATTCCACCATCGTTAGCACTGTACGACGAGTCTCTCTGCCTTTCATGGCCCGGCCCTGATGACTCGGCCTGTGAGTGATTCTTCCTCAATCCGATACCTGGTCCTACTGATGTAAGTAGGTAAGTAAGCAAATAAGTAAGTGAATATGCAACTTACAGAGAACCAACTACTTGGTCGCTGGTAATGAATGCGTTGCTATCAGCAACGCTTGCAACGCCTGCAACGCTCTGGGACACGTGAACCGCTTCTCTCACGATATCTCTGGCTTTTCTACGTCGAGCTGACGGTGGACGGGCGTAGACGGATAGATAGATAGAGAAGTAGATAGAATAGAAAGGTTGGGTGAAAGGGCTTAGATAGGAAGGAGCTCGCTGACGAGTGGATAGACACTTAGATAAAGATAAACAAACAGCTGGGTAGAATAGATGAACATAAAGAGTGATTTTGTGGGGGAAAAAAACATAAATAGAATAATTGAAAAGAGGGTAGGGGGGGGGGCGATCAATCAATATCATACCGTATCCTTTCTTCTCATTTTCTGGGGACATTGTTGTAAACCGACGGGCGTACATACACACACAAACACACACATACTCCGTATCCGTATATGTATATAGCAAAAAAATCCTCCAAAGGGGAGAAAGTGACCAGATAAACCGCCTGAAAGAAGAAAGTCTAAATAAATACTTTCTACTTACTCACTAGGTAGCGCAAAGAAGCTATCCAAATACCCCCCCCCTAGAAAGTTCGCATGAACATCAACCGACAGGACGCAATATACTTACTCACCCACTCCCAAGAACAAGCTCGAGCTCAAGCTCCCAAGACACGGCGTGAAAAAACGATCAAACCAATAGCGAAACATTCCCCGGTTTCGCCATATCTCTCTCTCGTGTTAGAATCGTGAAATAGACTTTCCATTTCCATTTTGTAGCGCCAACCCATATAGACTACATACATACCCGCGGCCCTCGCACGGTAGAAACGCCTTGTTATGCCCTTGAACGAGAACCCACCCGCAAATCATGACATACCATAGGATCGCCCTCCACGCACATAGCTGACCGTCATTCTCCACAGCCCCCTTCTAGTCTATCCGGTTATTGAGTAGCAGCAGGAGCTTCCTCGTCCGGCCCGTACGGCATCGTCTTGTACTGATCCCTTATCCGCCTGGTCTCCTCATCCGGATCCTCGATGAACAACCCCAAGTAGTCCACGTGACCATCCGGCTCCTCTTTCGGCGCCCCTGGGGTGTACTGCATCTTCCTGCTCTGGATATTCTTGTTCCGCTGTGGTTTGATCGAGATCTTCTGCACAATCGGGTAGTAGTACGCCGCCTTGTCGTGCAAGCCGTCCGTGCCGTCATGAATTGCAATAACCACCTCCTCGTCGTACTTGGTCGTCATATCGCCTGACACTTGGGAAGACTCGTAGAGACGCACGTGCTTGAAGCGGAACATTGGCCGGCCTTCGGTGCTTCGCTGTGTGTAGAGATCATCCGAGTCTTTCTCGGGGTCCAAAGCATCGAACTTGCGCTTGAACATGATGGCATCCGAGGCCGCCTCTGGCATGTAAAAATTGTAGTTCAAGCTAGTGTCTGGGGGTGGAAAATTCTCGGGGTCGCGCTCGTAATCCTCCTTAGCCTGCGCCCTGGCGATCTGTACCATCTCCGAAGGTGCGATCGGTTCCAGTATACTGGTATCCAGACGGATATCGTAGGTATTCCCAGGCGGGACGGGATTGCTCATGAATTTGACGGTAGCGTAGCCTCCTGCATCGGGGATCGTCTCAAGATCGGGGAGGAGAGGGTATGATGCTAGTAGCTTGACATTTGACTTTCCGCTTGGGTGTCGTACTTCGCGAGGATTTTTGAGGAGGTTGGACGCTATCGTAAAGCTTTGCTCCGCGGCCTTCTTAATTGCTTCCGGCGACTCCCTGTCTGCGTTTACGGCAGCTCTCTTGATTTTGTATCCGGTCTTGTCGATCAGGGATCTAGAGGTCGTGGATTCGAAGCGGTTCGGCTTGCTGGCATTCGAGATGTATTCGGTACGTCGCAGGAAGGATACGCCGGAGTCGGTGAACTTGGGCTTTCCAAGATTTGAGAGGGCGCAGAGAAGGTGGCGGTCGCGAGGATGAGGAGTGGGCGGGTGTAACGGGGCTTGAATAGCTGTTCAAACTCGGCTTAGCGATTGCGCCTGTGGTTTGCGCTCGCTTTACTTACAACTTTCATCTCCGTCGAAGATTCCTGGCATGCCCACCAGGTCCAACGGCATTCCCAACTCTGCATCGGCCTCGATATTTAGAGGCTGGTCACGCGCGAGTCGCGATGCAAAGCCAGGAGTCGTGTATTGACCAGACGCAAGGCCAGTATTAGGGATGTCGAGGAGCTTTGGGGGATTTGGCGGAGGAGGCAGAGTGTTTGAGTATCGTATTCTGGCAATATAGTCCTGGTGGACCAAGCGCTGGGATGAGGAGGACGCCATTCTGCTCTTCCCCCCGAAAGTGTGTGGTGTTGATGGAAGACAAGTCGCTGGCCGGAGATTTCTTTGGAGCTCCGAGGCGCGTCGTCGGTAGCGGAATTTCACAAGGCTGAGGTAAGTAAGTGCCGAAGTGAGACCGTCCTCTCTCAGCACCGCCTAAGCATTCCGAATAATATATTATTGTAATTCAAATTCGTAATCGCCCGAATTTTCCAGTCCATAAACTCATACTATAATAGACAACGACTCCATGCTATTAGCAACCTGTGCTATTGCTTTGCAGTCCTCCTTCCAGCAGTTACAGATTCTTTCAAGTCTTCCAAGCCGTCCAGGCCTCACCTCATTGACCTGGTTGATTTCAATCCCCAAGCTAGACTTGAGCTTTGGTGTACCGGTATCAAGGTCGCTTTTGGATATATTGCGTATGCCAAGGCCGGCATATTATTTTGCACAAGAGGCGCAGGGAGCGATATTGAAGAGCGTCGAATTGAATGATTGATCGGAAACAAAAAATAAAGATATATTAATCGCCAGTTGACGTAAATACATGTCTTCCATTCTCATCCACCAAGTACTTTCCATCTTCACTACGTGATAGCGCCATTCTAGTCCTATTATGCTGAATCACGACTTCTCGCCCTTTTGCTCTCTATCAAAGCTCAAGCTCTTCCCTTACCACACCCGACTCCAGGTCTTGTCCGGCTTTGGAGCTGGTTTCACTCCGCGTTCTCCAGTAATACCCCCCCAACTCGTCAATTGAACGGTTTGGCTCGCATATTTTTTCAGCACAGCCCCTGTCTGCCAGCATTTACCCTTTAAATCCAAGTCCAAGTCATCGTCGTTTAGCGTTTCAGTTGGAATAACCATGGTCAGCTCGTCAGTATATTCTGAAATATAACTATATGCAAAGCGTAATGCCTTCTCCGGGTCTTCTGACACTATTGACTTGATATATTTTTAGATAATTTTTTCGTTTCGGTACCATAAGGTCTCACTACGTATCGTTAATGGTTTCAGATGGGTTCCAGACTTTGCTTGGTTTTTTCAACTTTTCAATATCCGTTTCGATAGCACAATACCAATCGTCTTTTCGGGCCCACCGGCTAGCAGGTTCGTTTACTATTTAATTCTATTAATTCCGCGAAGTAAGTAACGATTTATATATATGTGAATCGAATTACCCATATAAATACCTTGTCCTAGTTGATCATGGAGTTCTTTATAAAACTTCTTATCTTTTTGAGGCTCTTCATGCTTATTGATATAATCGACTTCTTTTTTAAATTCGTGTAATTAACATAATCTTATATTATATAGATCAAGTAAAACTCGCTTTAGAAACAATTGCATAACCGATAATTTATTTTCCATAGCCCTACTAAAGAGAAAGCTTAAGGCTAGCAAAATCGAGCAAATTGATTGCGATAATAGCATCATTTTGAAAATATCGAAATAGTATTAGAATTTCATACGTCTATCGATACTGCGAGCTGACGAAAAAGGACTTGCAAAGGAAGAAGATGATGATAAGAAAGATGATAGATTTATTCTGAAGTAGATGCAATAAGGTATATGCATTTCTTTTTTATAATGTAATTTTGACGTCGATTATAAATAATCGCGCGGCTAATATATTTGTCTTTTTATTTTTATATCGAAGACCATCCTACTCCGTAAAAATAAAATCGAATTTACGCTTAGCTAGCTATTATAATGTTGCAATCTCCTTCCTTCCTACTGGCCATACTAGTAATAGTAGGAGTTGACCTCACAACTTTTAGGGCCCTTTCTTAAAGTTGGCGATAAAAGTACGTCCCCCGAAATAAGTCTGTCCCTTGTTAAATACCACCAGAATCAAGCGAAATTCCAATATAATTCCCGATTTCAATCCGGAACAACCTCGTCCATTGTACACTAGAGCTCATCCATAGTTCGCGTAAATTTTTGAATCTAAACTCCAACTTTTTATTATTATCGACACTCTTATGTGCAATGCATATTCAATTATTACAACTACTAATCTATTCAATTGAATCCATTAAAGTAATAACTAAGTTAATAATACAATTGCTATATGAAAAATTAGTAGTTAACGTGACTTATTCATTCACCTTTAAATTGTGTTCATGATAGAATTCTAAGCGACATATGATTAAGCCCCAACTTCCTTTGCTAATACTTATATAGCTTTTCTTCTAGTTGCTTTCTACCATTCCAATTATAACAACTATAACAACCACAACAACTACAATTTGCCATAATAACAAGAAATTGTTTGAACTCGAGGGTAGTAGGCTTGTAGTAAACATGGGGGGTGTTCTTAATAAAGGTGGAGATTTACGCGAACTATGGATGAGCTCTAGTGAACAATTGATGAGCTACCCCTCTCGATTTCAATCGCATGCATCTTGATAAATGTTAGAGCTATATTGATAAAACTTATATATGAAGACAGATATATTTGGAAGTTATCGATACATTAACATTCTATATATCGATTTGTATTATGAAGCTTAGAATTGTAAGAGATGTTGATTTTCAAGAGCTTTTGTACCGATTTTAAACGATCTTAATCGCTTGCATCTTAACGAATTTAAAAGCCATCAGAATACAAATTGTGTAACGAAGTCCGTTTACTCGTAAACTGTCGATACAACAAAATTGTAAGTATGAATCTGCGTTGTTGAGTGTAGAATTGAAAGGAAATGTTGGTTTTCAATGCCTTTTAACGATTTTGACGATACGAATTCACCAAAACCAACCGAATCTTTTATCAAATCAATACTATATTAAAACCCTAATAATACGTTAACAGATGATATTAGAATATTGAAACTTAAATCTATGAGTCCGCGTAATCGTATAATAACAGAATATATATTTTTTATTATCGAGCTCTTAATATATTATAAGAAATATCAAGAAAACAGAGAATAATTTTAATCGGACGGAGAACAGACCTATTTCGGACAGACTTTTTTTCGCCCACTTTAGGAAAGGGCCCCGAAAGTTGTTAGGTCAACTCCCACTGTTACATCGCGCTAAAGGGGGCCGAGAGCGGCTATTGCTATGGATTGAATGCTCGAAGGACGGCTGGCTGCACCGGGCTGAAGGGGGCTATTGCTATGGATGAGATTCCCGAGGAACAGCTAGCTGCATCGCGCTACAGGAAGCTACTATTATAGATTATATACTACTACTAGTAGCTACGAATATTATACCGCGAAGTCCGGAAAACTTACGACCCGCCGCAAGTTCCCGGGTAAGCTTTAGCTTGCGGCCGGGCTGAAGCGTTACATTTTCATTACATTATTTCAAAACGTATTCTTATAGAAAATTGATATAGCGTTAATGTCAAAGGCTTCGGAAGACAGCCTTATGCTACTACTGTTGCGACCTCGTTTTGTTATAAGACTGTCCACGTGTGGTCTCTTCAAAAACTACTGTCCACTGGTAATCTTATTCTAAGAGATCGTAAGCGCATCTTAAATCTTGCAAATGGCCTCGGCCTTTGTAACCAACGCTCAATTGGACGCGCGAGTTGGAACTACCGACAATAGATTTAGAGATACGCAGCGCTTCTTGCTCGGTTGAAAGCAAGTAAAACTGGCCTGAATTGAATGTAAAAGAAAAAGATGAGAGCTATACTAGAAAAGCCAGCAATGCCTCAATCTTGTCAGCAATGTGGCCAGATTAGCTATAGTAAGAGAGACAACAACTGTCTTTTGCTAAGATGAAGCAAGCTTAGTGGTATCAGATAGCGAGAGCCCGCAATTTTGAGATCAGCGTACTATTTCGTTTGCAATCCACACCTTACATCTACGTATATTTCCGCTAACAAATTAGCTTCGGGAGTCTTAAATTCACCTGATTTCACAGCTCGAATTCATCAAGATTTGACGGAGGTTACTTACGCGAGGCTGACTCCTGCTCCAGGCGAAAGTCTCTTTTGGATGCAATCCAAAAGATAATCCAAAAGATAGACGACAGAAGACGAAAATGGAGCGCGCAACAATTCCACGTCGGGCTCTCGATATCTTGTTCTATTTCACACGCCCAAACTCCCAGCCCGCCCAGTCTCGACATTTACTCGTGCACATAGACCCTAGGTACAGCAGACAAATAAATGGCTCCTCATGGGGAATAACGTGTTCATCCGAATTCCTCCGTAGAAGCCCAGCGCGCCGATATTCTCTCTCGAACATGATTTTGTACAAATGACAGGCAATGCAATGATACATCGTGCCCATTTTCTCAAATCCACACATCCTCGGTCCTTTGGTCTTAGAGTAGCTTGCTCAGGAACTGCTCTTGTTGTATTTAGTCTTGCCGAATGAGAACGGGACGTAGCGATATTTGATCATGTGCTGAATCTGTCTCCTCACTACACCAACTATTAGCCCAGCCCACACTACATCCTATCCCTCCAGACTTAGAAATACGAACTGGTAAGAGTGAACAGGATCAGCCAGTAAACGACCAACACCGGCCAGAAGACCGGCACATCAAAGATCGCGAACCAAGTGCACGAGAACCCGATAGCGATAGCCCTCGTGGCGGAATACCAAAACTTGAACTCGGGAAGGCGGCGGATGAAGGGTCTGAACTCCTCGTCTTGTTTGGTAGGAAGGCCACCCGCAGAGCCATCTTCCATGTCGTTGTCTGCCGCCTCATTCGAGGGGTCGAATTTGGGTTGCAGGAAGGCGAGGAAGAGGTTGAGCAGGTAGATACCGAGGGAGTATGCGACTAGTTGTCACGTTAGATGACTTGGACAGGGTAAGAGGGTGAGGATAAGTACCGATGTACCAGCCTTGGGCGACGAATATCCTGACGAAGAAAATGATGAGGAGGAAGGCGGTGCCTATCCACCTGTAGGGTACGTAGGGTGTTGACTTGTCGAGCCAGGCTTGGTATTGCTATTCGCACAATGATAAATGAGCTTCTATTCCCGCCAGAATCCGGTTGCCAGACAGCCTTTTCTATAACTTCTGAGACTTCAATGACTTACTCGTTGCAGCCTCGAAGTGTGCGCGCTCACAGCCCCAAAGGCAGTCTGTTCAGGCTCGATTGAATCCATCTCGACAAGTATTCTTCACGATCACAGTCGCGACGCGATCGTTTTGTGTGTTCGAGGATGCAAGTAGTCGTAGAGAATCTTGTTGCGGAAGGCGATTGTCGTGGCGCAAAGGTGGTTCGAAGGTCCGAAATAGTTAAGACACTTGTTGGCGGTTTCGACAAGATTTGGCTGGCATCTCCGGAATTACGATGTTCCTTGGTGTAGGTCACGTGAGACTGTCGGGAATTGAGACAGGGGTAGTCAACTAACTACCCGAGGGCGAGGCTCGGATGTTGTGATGTGTGGAGGTGGGTTGATCTAAGGATCAGCAGCTACTTACGTGGTATTCTGAATTGTGTTCAAGCGGGCCTTGACTACTTCTAGTCTCTCTAGACACTTGCCCAGGAAGCAATCCGTAAGCTACTTCAATCTACCCAAGATGAACAGGTTTAGAGCTTTAAGGCCAATGGCCTCCCAATTCCGAGCTTCAGCTCTCCCCGCCATATCTCGCAGCTACTCCGCCTGGCCAGAGAAATCCTACGAATTTATCCAAACCACGGAGCCTCGCCCAGGAGTCGGCCAAAGTAAGCCTCAAATCTCTCAACTCGACGACTCTTGATTCAGAACTGTAAAGCCTGCTAACACAGCCATCTCGCAGTAACGCTCAACCGCCCCAAAGCCCTCAACGCCCTCTCCACCCCGCTGATTACCGAACTCAACTCCGCCCTCCTCGCCTTCGACTCTGACGCCGACACGCGCGTAATCCTACTCACCGGCTCCCAGAAAGCCTTTGCAGCCGGCGCCGATATCAAGGAGATGGCCTCCCTCACATTTTCACAAGCCTACACCACCTCCTTCATAGAGTCCTGGTCGCTCCTCACCACCGCCATCAAGAAACCTATCATCTGTGCCGTCTCAGGCCACGCTCTCGGCGGTGGGTGTGAGCTCGCGCTGATGTGCGATATCCTTTACTGTACTGACAGTGCAAATTTCGGACAGCCTGAGATCAAGCTGGGTACGATTCCTGGAGCTGGGGGCAGTCAGAGATTGACGCAGGCCATTGGCAAGGCGAGGGCTATGGAGCTGATTTTGACCGGCAGGGGCTTCAGTGGGAAGGAGGCGGCACAGTGGGGGGTTGCGGCTAGGACGTTTGGTAGTTGGGAGGAGCTGATGGAGGGGAGTTTAAAGACCGCTGAGACCATTGCAGGGTATAGCAAGGTGGCGGTTATGGCGGCCAAGGAGGTAGTGAATAAGAGCCAAGAACTGCCATTGAGAGATGGAGTCGAGTATGAGAGGAGAGTGTTCCACAGTTTGTTTGGCAGTGAGGATCAGAAGATTGGGATGAAGGCGTTTGCCGAGAAGAAGAAGGCCGAGTGGAGTCATAAGTAAACACATGTTATTCCGTTCATGACTTGTCCCCGTACGCCTAATGCGAAGCCTGCCACCGTTGTCATGCCTTGACTATCCCCATAACGCCTGCGCTGCCCAAGAGCCGTTGTATGGCTGCTACTATGTTGCTCATATATACATCCTAAATTTCCTCCTTCCACGCGGAAGAAGTAACCTCCCATTCCTTGCAAGCCCCGAGCCAGCTCCGGCGAATACAATGCGACTCGTGAGGTGTTGGCAAGGAAGTCGGTGATGGGTCCACACATATCAATCCAAACCACTCTTTCTCGGTACACGAGTGTGTGCGCGTGGGCGTTGGGGATTGTGTGAAGCTTGGCGTTGGTGGCGGAGCCGTTATTTGGTGTGACTGCGGAGTTGTCGTTATCATATCTACCGACGTAGAAGTTGAGTCTCTACATCCAAACCATCCTGGCGTCTCACATGTTGTCGTAGAGGTTTTAGTTGGCGTGACGGGGACCCTTGAGCTGGAGCTGGTTGTTGTCGTCGTAGTTTCATCATTGCAGCCAAACCAGCCTGGGGTTTTGCAGGTAGACGTCGAGGTCGTCGTGGTAGTGCTGCTGCTTGTCGTGGTTCCAGATGTGGTCGTGGTCTCGTCGAGGCATCCCCACCAGCCAGGCGTTTGACAAGTCGAGGTCCGTGTCCGTGTCTTTGTAGACGTCGAAGATGGTATGGTTGATGTTCCAGTGCTGTTACCAGTAACCTCTTTCCATAACGGGCAATCGTAACACTCAGGTGTAAATTTGCACTCCGGTGCTTTAGTCCATTTCATCAAGACGTTCTGGATCACGTAAATGATCTTGTGGGTAATAATCGAGACCCTCGTGCCATTTGTATTGACCACATCAAACACACATTCCCTACCGGTATGACATGCACTCTCCATTGCATAGCCTGCATAAGAGCAAGAAGCTGTAGCCCCATTGCAGGTTCCCATATAAATCGGATCCGCATTTTGACCAAAATGATAGGCTCCTGTGTATTCACGTTGCCCTGGCCTGTCAGGGTCAACTCCAGGAGGCACAGGGAGTCCAAGTCGATTCGCTGGCAGGGCATCCGGGACGGCTTGGAAGGTCAAGACGGGTTTGCCATAGGTCAAGCCGATCATAGCACTGAGGGAACCTCCCAATGAATGCCCAGACATCCAGACCTCGGAATTAGGGTACATTGCTGTGACATTTCCATACAGAGTCCGGGCAGCTGCATAGTATCGGTTTTCCTTCCTCAGACTCTTCTGCAAGCAAGTCAAGTTGCAGGTATATGTACCTGAAGCACAATCGCAGACCTGCCTGTAGAATGAGCTGCCTTGCTGGCCACAGCAACAGCTGAAAAAGAGGTTGTCGTTCTCCTTATCGTTTGTAGTCGTTCCATCACCATCCCAGATGGCCAGCGTTGTTCCCTTCAACCCGATGACCACAACCGATTCATCCTCGTTTGCGTATAGATATCCTCTCAGCCCATCACTGTCCCACCCAAATCCTACATCGTTCGTCCTGTTGTAGCCCCCATGGACGTCTTTCCAATCGCCAGTGTTTGGTTGCTCCACGTAGGCATTTGCCGCCATTTGGGCAAAGGTCAAGATGGTCTCCATATTCGTAACATCGGGACCGTGGACTTCATCCATCGTCCACGCTTCAGGCGACGAAGTCCATACTTGGGAGTACTGCCTCGCTGCGGCCACCATCGGGTCTACTACCGAGGGGCGTGTATCCTTCAATCGATGTATCTTCATGGGACTCGTCCGTACCACCAGCGGCCTGCTGACTTCTTCCACTTTCCCTTCCTCGGATTCTATCCACAAGCCAGATGCGGTTTTCGGGACATCGAGCCTCATGTGGAGTGCGGGGCGGTTGAGGTCCCCATGGTGGAACACATGCCGCAACGTCTGGAATCATAGTTAGTAAAAAGACAGAGTAGCGAGAATTTTCTGTAGCATACAAACAGGTGATGATCTTTCGCTCTAGGCGCCGAAACCTCAGGTGGCGGAATCAGAGGAGAGAGTATGGGTGTCTGTTGTTGTTGGTGGTGTTGATTCGGCCCCCTCGGCTCAGCGGAGGCAGCTATCGGGCTCGATAAGGCCAGGAACGAGAGCAGCAGTCCGGCGGTGACCCTGCCGACAGAAGTGCAAGGCGGAAGAGAGTGGGATGTGTCTTTGTACAGCCGCATGACGGAAGTAAATAGGTAGGGAAAAGGTTAGGAAGTAAGATAGAGGAGAGAGGATGTGGTGATATCGAAGGGGATGAGCATAGCATAGCATCGGCTGGCGTCAGGTGCATGGCCTGTGGCCTATGGCCGGCCGAAAGCGGTGAGCGCGCATAAATCTCCAAAGTTGCTGGCGTCATATCTTCATCTGCCCGAATACACGTCTTCCTCACGCTGCTGCTCGTGGATTACCCCGGATTCGTGGAAATGTAATATTTAACAGTGTTTATTGACTTTGTTCGTGCGGTTCCGCAGCATCTGCTTTCATTGCTTCACATTCGTTTACCCCTGGTGGTCCCATCATCCCGGCCTGGGCCAGAGTTTCAGTCGTGGACACTTCATGCAACAGGCTTGGGTCACTGCGACTGCGAATCCTACGTAGTTAGCTGCCAGGTGAATAAATAGAATCCCTCTCTTCTTCTTCCTCTTCTTCTTCTCCTCCTCCTCGACATTTCGAAATGCAAGCAATCACTGACAAGATGTTGTTCACCCTCCCAGACTTCATGGCAACAACTCCTGAGCCAAAGAAGGACCATCGTCCCCGCCCATTAAAGCTTTCCAGATCCTTCATCAAACCTCCCCCCGCAAGTCCGGATCTGGGTACTCGTCCCCAACGAGCCAGCACATTTCAGAATGGGGCAATGGCGGGAAGCCCGGCAGATACGTCGGCTTCGTCTAAGGAGAATTTGAACCTCCGAACACCATCAGATGTGTTTGAAAAAGGCGACTCTGATGATGAGGATGAAGGAGCTGCTGAGATGAACGGGAAGCTGCCTGACGACTTCGATCAACTTCCAATAGAGCTTGTTAGCTTGAGTGACAGGTGAGTCCTGCCTTCCCCCAGGATGCCCTGAGTTAGATGTTGACCGATGCATAGCTTCATCGACTCGCTTTCTGCTAAAGTTCATCCTACCCCACCAACGGTGGACAAACTATCCGGCCTGTTCCAAGACTTCTACGTAGTTGCTGCCAGCCACATTAACACCCATATCTCCGCACTTTCATCCAGGCAGCACAGGTCGAACTCTCCGGCCCCCACTACTGTTGCGGGAAAGATACGGGCAAAAGCCGCCTCGATCAGTAGCAAGGACAGGCCAAAGATTTCATCCGCAAGGAAGGAATCAGAACAACAGATGCTGACCACTGAGGAAATTGCGGAACGCAAACGTGCCCGAAAGGTCCTTGAGCAAAAGAGGGTGGCACTGGAAGAAGCTGTTGAGAGGAGAGTTACGGAAGGAATCTACAGCAGGATTTGGAGGCACAGAAGTACACAGGATGAGGCCCAGGACGAGAAGTTACGATCAAAGACTGCCGCTCTCTCGGTTGTGGGCATTGGTTTGACAGATCTCGGAATTGACCTAGGTCAAGAGTCAAGCGAGAACCCAGATGCGACGGGTAACAAGGAGAAAGAGGTCAAAGAATGGCTTGAAGGTGCTAGAGTGGAGCTTATTGCCATGAACGATGAGAAGCACCCTCTCGGTAAATTGCAACACCTGAAGGCAGCCCACAAAGCGATTGTCGATACGCTTTCACACTTCCACCCTTCTTCATCTGCTGATGAAATCATGCCAATGTTAATATATACCTTGATTACTTCCAGACCCGAAGGTATCGACGTCATCAGCAACTTGTATTTCATTCAGAGGTTCCGCAACGAAATCAAGATAGATGGGGAAGCTGCATACTGCTTGACGAATCTGGAAGCTGCGATTACGTTCCTTGAGACCGTCGACCTCGCAAGCCTTAGAGCGGACGAAAAACCATCAGGACCTCAAAAATCGAACAGTGGACCCACCACACCGCGAGTGGAGAAGCACGATCCATTGCTCTCGCTGACAAGCTCCCCGGAACCATCGGCTCCTGAAGTCAACTCCAACAACACAAGTCCCACATTGTCAAAATCTCAACCGTCCCCTGTCGGACTCAAGCCGATACAGGCGCAAAACCGACGAATTAGCGGCATGTTTCAGCCGCCAGCGGTACTGGGTGCAGCTGGCGACGCTGTCATGAATACCGCCGACCAGGGGTTCAAAACTATCGGTAACAGTCTTGGGGATAGTTATAAGTTTCTTGTTGGCAAACTCAAAGAGCGGCAGGAAGAAGCCACGGGAAAGAAAGCTGAGATCATTGTTCCCAAGACGCTCGATGATGCCAGGAAGCTTGTCAGCACACCTCCTCTAGAGGAAGAGGAATCAGCCAGTGGAGCAAGCTCGCTTCACAGCACAGAAGTGACTGGAGTGACTGGAGTGGCAGGTCGGACTAGAGCCGATTCTGGCTCAAAGCTAGACGACAAGGTCCTCAGTATCATCGGAGGCCGAAAGCTCGCTCGTGATAGGAGTACAGATAGCGTGAGGAGCGCCAGCACGAATGCCAGCAGCAGCAAGAAGGTGGCATTCGCCCATGAAAATGCAGATAAATCTTCGTCACCGCTACACATCTCGCCAGCACCGACTTCAGCACCGTCAGGAAACCCTGCCATTGTGGAGTCGATGCGTAATCTTGGAAATTCATTAAATCCAATAAACAGGATCGCTGGAATGGGAATGATGCGTGGATTTGGGCGCTCGATGACTCTACCTACCACTCCCACCACTCCCACCACCACTCCCACCACGCCTGCTCCTAGTAAAACGGTACCCGATGGCGGTGTTACTGAGTTGACAACCGTAGGCAGTCCTTCCTCTTCCCCTCCTCCAATTTTTCAACTCTCCTCTAACGTCAAAAAGGCATTCCCAGATCTCGCACCTTCCCTCCCAGCAAAAGAAGTGCAAAAGATCGCTCCACCAATTAAGAAGTTCATGGACTTGCAGAACCCAGGAGAGCTGCGCATCAACGAGGTATTGGAGTTATTACGAGACTACAGGCGGTTGGCGGGGGCGCTGAAGGACATGGGTGCTGTTTGAATCTCTGAATTTACTACGGTCACTACCGAATTGGGATTGGGCACTGGGGCATTGCGTGCAGGCATTTATGGCGTTGTTGGCGGTATGTCGGAGCAGATTTTGCACTTTGATTTATGGGTGTAGGGCGTGGATGGGAATTGCTAGAAGGTTCGGAGGCGCTCCTCGAATAGAAATCATAACTTTTTACATGTACCGGCCGCTTGTGGTGAATTCTCCATCTTCAATATGCCTTCCCGTTTGTGAGATCTCTGCCAAGGATTAAAGAGTGGGTGCTGCACGGAATTAACCGGATCCCAATATATCTCGCTCGCTACAGTAGATAAGCGAGCGCGGCGCGAAGTAACGACAACAACAACCATGACGACAAAGCTTAAAGGTACAGGATACATACCTGCGGACGAACCCAAGCTAAGAGAGACCAAGACCAAGGCCAATCACTCTCTCGTTTCTTGTGTTATGTTGTGCCGGGCCGTGCCGCGCGAGACGACCGACCCCCTTCCACGTGATCTCCACCCCAGAAGACCTCCTCGCCAAATCCCTCAGCGCTTCCGTCTCTTCCCATCGCGGAATCTGGTACGAAGACGAAGACGAAGACGAAGACAAGAACGAGAGATCCCCGGCATTGAGATGGATCTGTCTCAGCTGAGGAGGAGGAGTCGTTCGAGACGATAACAACAACAACAACAACAACAACAACAACCTGCATCAACAACAGAGCGAGCCCCGAGGAGGAGGAGAGAAGGAGAAGTTGGGATAGGTGGGCGGGGAGATCTGGGTGGCAGTTTGTGATTGTGAGATGCTGTA